CCCTTTTTTTAGATTTCTTAATTAAAACCCAATTAACAACATAAAATTGATATAACAAAAAGAATTTAAGATAAATATTTTGCTAATTAACAATATAATTTAGTTAATTAAATTTATAAAGATATCATTTTAACTTCTGATTTGTCCTTCCTTTAGAGATTATTTTCATGCTAATTAATGTAATAATTTTTATATAATCAACTTCATATTTTCACTTCCTTTTTTCCTTAATTACCAATCTTTCATAATAATTCGCTTCAAAATTATTGAACTTTTCAAAATCTTTTTTTAGTTTTAGTAATTAGCTACAACTATAATTAGCAATCCTTTAAAAAGTTATATGCAAGAAAAATAATTTGAAGATATATTGAAATGCAAAAAAAGATCTTATAATTTGCCTATAAGAAAATAAAAATGGATAAAACTTAAAAGAAAAAATCTAATAAACAAATAATTTATGATTTTATTAACACATAGAATTTGACAATTTACTATCTCTGCTGTTAAAATGAAAAAAATAATAATTAAAAATTTAGAATCAAATATTTCTTAAGAGAATTTACAAAATTAAACTATCAAAAATATTGGTAAAGATTTGAAAAATCTAATTTCTAAAAATTTTCTTTAGAATTTAAGATTTTTAAGGCAAAAATTTTAATTATTTGCTGGAGCTCTTATAAGTGATGGATTATTTAATTAACTAAAAATAATAGAGATAACTGTTGTATTGTTTCATTAATGAAAATATCAAGGTTTCATGATTTAAGAATATTGTGTTTAACATCTTATAATTATTGTATATTATTATATGAATTGATTAATTGATAATAAATATATAATGTTAAGATATTAATCTGAGGAAAGTGAAGCAAAACTAAAATCTGTTTAATTGCCTTCAATTAAGCAAGGTCATACAGTTATAGGAGCTTCTGAACTTGAATAAATTAAATCACATATTAGTATCACAGAACAAAAATCAAAGAAAGTATAACTTAATCATTTTAAAATAGAGTATTGATAATAATTAAAGGGTTTGGGCATAGAGAATTGAGAAATAAAGATCATAGAAGGAGAAAGAGAAGTTTGATAAATTTTAGATTGAAGAAGAAGAGAGAAGAAAGATGGATAAAGTTGAAACTGATTTTCAAGAGAAATTAAAGTAGGATTAAGTTGTTGATGCAAATAACAAGATATTTAGTCAAAGGGGAGAGTAATTCAAAAAACGATTTTTAGTGTACGCAATATGAAGTCAAAAATGCTTATGAGTGAAAATGAGAAGATTAATGAAGCTCTAGTTCGTTTTAATAAAGAAAGACATGAAATGTAAATGACCCTTGAAGCTGAACGATTAAAGGATATTGATGTCAAAAGGTAAATGGAAGAGTAAGCAGAATTAGAGAAGACTTAATAAAAAGATTAATTAAAAAGAGAGACTTATGCAGTTTTAGCAAAATAACATAATGAGATGAAAGAGAAATACTTTAAGGAATATACAAAATTGTAATAGGAAGGATAATTAATAAAAAGATAAGCAGAAGAGGAAGAATAAGAAAAAGAGTATCAATGAATATATTATTAGAAAGAAGAAAGAGGAGGAGAAGTTGAAGAAACAAAAACTATTAGCAGAAAGACAGAAATTTATGGATGTTAAATAATCTATATAAGATGAAGAATAGATGTTATTAGATAAAGAGGCAAAGGATAGAAATCATTTTGAAAATAAAAAGGAAAGGGTTTTAGAAATGAGAAAATAAAGAGTATTTTTAATCTAATTTATTAGGAAGCTTAAAAATTAGAACGTTAAATGTAACTTAAATAAAAGATATATGATATGAGAGTTATATAATTAAAAGAATAAGAAGATAATTATATGTAAAGAGTTTAGAAACATGCAGAAGAATTATAAAGACATGAGGAAGAAGTAGCTAGATAAAAAGAATAGGAGAAGATATAAATGATAAAAGAAGGAGAGACTTTTAGATAAAGATAATTAAAACTTAAGGAAACTGTTAAAGAGAAAGAAGAAGTTGATGCAAATAAAGAATAAGTGCTAAAAATAAATGCATTACAATAATTATCTGTAATAGAAGAATAATAAAAAGAAATTCTGAAAAAACGTAATAAAGAATTATTGGATTATTAAAAAATATAAATAGTATTTCAAATATTAAATTTAGGAATAAAAAAAATAAGCCAGAAGGGATTAATATATGAATGAGCTTAAAGAATCCAAATAAATGGAATTAAGAGCTTAATAATATAGAGATACCTTTATGAATTGGGCTAAATAATAGGTTGAAGAAACAAGAGAACAAGGTTTAAATTTATATCCTTTATTGAAGACATTAAAATTATGATTTAATTAAAAATAACAAAATAAAAGTCTGATTAGATTTTACTCATTTTCTTTTCTTTTTTTATTATTTGATCTAAAGAGATTAATTAAAATAAATATGAATGTAACCAAAATAAAACAATTCAATATTACTTATATTTTATATTTAAACATATCCATAATTAGATAATATTTACATAATTTTTTCCATGGTTCATTTTCCAAATAATATTATTTATTCTTTAATTTTTTCAACTATTGCAAAATATGAGTAGACAAAAGTATTATCTATATTATATGATTAATAATCTATGATTGGAATTTGAACTTTTTCTATTTAGAAATATATTTTATTCAATTTCTTTAGAAAAAAAAGGAGCAAAATTTTATTAATTATCGTTAAAATTGAATGCTAACAGATAGTCCATCTTATAAACATTCAAATAAGGAAAACTCTCCAAAATATTGTTCAATCATCAGAAAAAGCAACATATCTCATAAACTTATCAATGAAGTATTAAATAGTGGATCTGATTATCTACAAGATTAATTAGAATAGATTGATTAAAAAATAATTCAATACTAATGCAATATTAAGTAGAAGATAACAACTTTACTTGGTGAATCTACTTGTTCAATTGATTAACAATTATTTCAAACCAAACTTTAAGATTTGAGAATGGAAGAATAAAAGTATTTTGAATATATAATTTAGTTATCAGTAAATGCAAAGTGATATTGATAAATAATAATCTATACTTTATGATTATTATGAAACTGAATTCAATAAACTTAAATCATAATATGAATTAGTCACTTAAGAACATTAATAATTTATCAAAGAGAGATGTGAAGTTAATTAAAATTATAATTCAATCTTGGAAACTAAAGCAATGTTAAAAGAAGATTTGAATGCTAAATTATTATAGAGAGCAGAATTAGTTGGTTAAAAAGAAGAATTAGAAGAATTTGTTGAATAAATTAAAAATGATCATCCTTAACTCACTGAAATTGTTGAATCCATATATTAATGTGATCAAAAGACATAAGATATTGTTAAAAATATTAATTATATAACAAATCAAATTTAATTGTTGTATTTTTAATAAGATGAGAAAAAAAAATAATTAGCTTCATATAATTAAACTACTTTACTAGAAGTTTAAGTACATTAATAAACTCAAAAGGTAAAATATTTAAAAAATAAAATTGTACCTATCTAAAAAAGTTTGAATCTATAACATCCAGATACTATTCTTAATGAATTTATAGTTTATTATGGAAATTCACCTATTCATTTAGAATCAATTGAATTTCAAACTAAATTAACTAGTTTTATATAGTAATTTCGAAATAGTCTATTTAAATAAGGAAATTAAGGAAATAATTGGGGAAGTATGAAAGAGTTTGTATTTTAATTGGAACAATTCATTTTTGCTTCTTTATCACAAAGACAAATCTAAAATTAATTATCTGTAATCTATAATAATTTAAATAGGATTTAAAACAAAATTTAAAGTAATATGGTGATGAATAATTACTATCAAATGAAGTTTGCACAATTGATTATTAAGTGGAAGTTAAGAAATAATAGATTAAAGAATTTGAAGAAGAAAAATCTTAAGCTCTATATAGAAGAGAAATGTAAATATCTATTTAAAAAATAGATTATATGATTAATTTTAAGAAAGAGTTAGTTAATAAAATGAAGAGGCATTTTAATAGTATTAAGATTAAAATGAGAAGGAACTTAATCATATTTTAAATGAATTTGGAAATGCAGAATATAGGTCTATCCTTGATTAGACTTTCAAATAGATGTAATAATTGATGCAAGATTAAGAAGAAGTAAAATTGAATTATAATTAATTAGGAATAATTTAATAACACATATAAAGTACTTTAATAGTATTACCTATTTGATTAAGCAATAAAAACAAATATTTAAATGGTTGATTAAGAGATACTTCCATAATTAAAGAATATTGGATAATCAATAAATAATGCAAAAAAAGAATTAGATAAATTAAGTGGAAGTGAAAAACCTTATATAGATCGTTAAAATAAAATAGAATAAGATATTTAATATTTAGAATAGGAGTTTAAGAGAAAAATAGATTATTTTAATAATTAAGAATAAGAAATATAGAGATGTTTGAATACAATAAAGTTAGCAATTGAGAATACTTAAGAGTAATTATTATCTAAGGACAAACCTAATAAAGCTTTATTGGAATAAGAAATATTATAACTCAACAATATGTTGACTTAATTATAAGAATAAAAAAAATAAATTGAAGTTTCATAATTTTAGTTTAGTAAATCTCCTTAAAAGAATGATATTAGTAGAAGAAGTTCAAATGGAGGAATTTTAGCGATTTCAAAATCATTAAATTAATTTTAGAAATTGCGTAAAGAACCAAGTGTGAATAGTTTTAATAATAGTGTTGTTAAAGGTATAACACCTTCAAAAGAGTCTTCAAATTTATATCACATTGCAAAATATCCAAAACCTAATTGCAAAACTTCATAAGAATTAAGACTAAAATCTAATGTTTCATTAAAATAAATAAAGTGACTAGTTTTATATTAATTACTAATCATTTTTGATATAAATTCTCTATTAAAAAAAAATGAATTTTTGGGTTTAATTTATAATTAATTTTCATTTTCTTTATAATTCTTATTATAGTTCTGGAATCCAATAATTTTAGATAGCAGTATTTCTTCGAAAAGTTTCTTATGCTTTGATTTAATTTTAACGTTAATGTTGAGATGATGCAACATGTTCCTAATTCTAAGTCTTTGCTTCTTCAATCATTTATATTATTCTTTAATCTTTTTTAAATTACATTTTCTCTTAAAAATTTGCATAATGTGAATTAATGTATATATATGTTTTTTTATTATCTCTTCCCTTAGATACTAATAATTTTGCCTCTGATTCCAATGCTATGATATCTTATCTCATTTATGGATAACACTATTAATTAATTTTGATTATTAATTACTGATTCAAACCAAATGTGATTCACATATAATATGCATTTTTTATCTTGGAAATATTCTTCCAATTATTTTTTATCATTTATATTTTCTGTTTTAAGTCTATACTTTCCTGTTGTATTATTAGTATTCATAACTGATATTTTGTCACTAACAATTTAGTATTCATCTTTATTTTTATCATTATTTATTGAATCTTCAATTGCATCTCTAATTTTAATATGAATTGAGCCATAATCTGGTCTTTATTTAAGAATATCTTCAATTTCTCTTATACTGAGCCATACATTGTTCTTAAGTAAAAGAACTTAAAATATCTCATTTTTAGTATATTATAAGTTGTTACGATATTCCCATTCTTCAGTCATTGAAATATTTTAATAAAATAATTTTTATATTCTTATGCAGGTTTTAATTGAAATTGCAACTTGGACTCATAACAATCATGGACTATTTGATTATGAATCTAAAGAATTAAAGACATCTAAAATTAATGTAAAAAACACAACTAACTTAATTTTAAATGGTACAATATCTAATTTATATTATAACAGAAGATAATTCTGATACAATAATCTAATCTGATAAATTATTTGGAGATTGTATAGGTTCAATTAGTTTTGAAGAAAATGCTATATGTAAATAGATAATAATTCATTTTTAGATTTTAAAAGTAATTCAGATTATTAAGATGCATATGTGAAAATAGACCCAAAATAAAAATAATAGTTATTAGTCGGTGATCTTTTTAAATTTGGAAGAATGTAAAAGTTACCCTAAATACAAGGGAATATTTTGTATCCGAGTTGAATAATGGTGATAAAGTAATGATGGCCCAAGATCATTATAATTTAGAAAGACATATTAAAATATAAAAGAAAAAAGACCCAAGATAATGTAGATTTTGTTTAATGGATGATTAAGAAGAAACAGAAGATCCAAAAAATCCATTTCTTTAAGATTTATGTAGTTGTAAAGGATTAATGGCATATGTACATTTTGAATGTCTAAAATAATGGGTTAATTTTCAAAATCGAATTTCATGTAAATAAACTTAGAATACAGTTCAATATCATTGGAATAAAGTATTAGAATGTGATGTAAGTTATTTATATTTATGTAGGTTTGTAAAGATCCCCTTCCTGCTCGTGTTTATATTGAAAATTAATCAGAACCTCTTTAAATGATTCAAGTTGAGAAATTAGATGGACCTTATATTATTTTAGAATAAATCACAAGATAAGAGAGTCTCTCAAAAAGTTTGACATTTATGCATGCTTTTGGAACATGTTCTGTATCAATTGGTAGAGGACATAATAGTGAAATCAGATGTCAAGATATCTCAGTTTCAAGAAATCATGCCATTATCTCATATGAAAAATAATGGTATATAGAAGATTAAAACAGTAAATTTGGTACATTAAGAATCATTCAAAATAAACTAAAATTACTAAAGGAAGTTTAAGAAATATAAATTGGAAGGGTTTTATTAAAAATAAAAATAATTTGAATATCATATATATATATACCTATATATTTTATTATAATAAAAATGATCTTAATTAAATAGATTATTCTTTTATAGATGATATAATTTAAAATTATAATAGATTTTCATTTTATTTTCAATTTATTTATAAAATGTAATAATTTTAGATAAAGTCTATAAATAATTGTTTGATTCTTTAATTTAAGTAATAAATCTTGATGAATGATAAGATTGTTAATAGAACACATTTATTAATAAGTTGAATGACAAAATTATTGAATATAAATTTATTTATTTTTTTCAATATATTTTACTCTAACTTAAAGTAAGCAATTTTTATATATTCAATTAATGATGATAAAATTCCAGTTCAATGCGATAAAAACAACTTAGATTATTAGATTTTAAAATAATTATTTTAAATATGAATTAAATTTAGTAAGACACTGAAGAGCCAATCTCAAAATTAAATTAGTTAATGTTAACGGATGAGCCTATAGGTGAAATTTAAGATTTTCTCAATTATTCATTATCAGAAGGTAATTTCTCTATTCAAGGTTCAAGAGTCAACACTAATAATAATATCCCTAGTTAAAGTTCAAAACATAAAGCCCATGAATCTAAAAGAGTTACTTTTGATTCTTCTCTTAGCAGTCCAACAAATAGGTTTTTAATGAATAAGAAAAACTAAAAATCTTCAGATCCTCAATAATTCCCTTAACAATAAATATTTAGTGTAATCTAATTTTGTTTTATAAAACGATTTATTAACAGAATAAGTTGGAAAAAGAAAATAAATTCATAATTCAACCTTTATTAATACAATATTATACAAGATTTAGGGTCTTCTTTTAATTTAAAACTGTTTCGTGATAGTGCATTGAATTTGAAACCAATGGTAAGCTAATTTAATCAATCATCTGATGGGTTATAGTAATTTGTTAAAAAAAAGTAAGAATTATCAATCTATAAAAAATAGAGAATTGTCAAAAAAGATAAAAAAATAAATTACTTATCTAAAGACCTGCAAAAATAATTTAATAAAAAAATTAGAATAAGAAATAGAGAAAATTCCACTGATTACTCCTGAATCCAGATTGAAAATAGTATGGGATTGTATAGTAATGATGAGTAGACTATATTTTCTATTTACAATTCCAATAGATTTAGCATGGGATAAATATTAGATTATATATGGTGAACTATATATTCCAACAATTCTTATGATATTATTGTTGGTTTTTGATTTCATTTTGAGTTTTAATAGTTCTTTTTATTAATTTGGATAAATAGTTAATAATAGAGCAACAATAGCCAAAAATGTAATTAGTAAAAGTTATGGTTTGGAAGCAATATCTATATTAATTGTTATTATTTATGCAATGATTTCAAATTCATCTTAATAAGAATTTAATTTATTAACAGAATGGTGGGATTTAATTATGCTATTATTTTATGTATAATGTAGGAATATTCCAAAATTAATAAGTTAAGTTGAAGAAACTCTGAATTTATCAAAGCCAAGTAGTTCATTATTAGAATTATTTAAATTATTATTAGTTTTATTCTTTGTTTTACATTGTTATTCATGTCTTTGGTATTTTGTATATATATTAATTTAATATTTCTTTAGGTTGGTTATTATAGTTAATTATATTCAGAAAAAGGAAGTTGGTTAGAATTTTATCATGTTGAAAATGAAACTTGGTAAGTACAATATTTGTATTCATTTTACTTTTCAACAGTTACTATGTTTACAATAGGTTATGGAGATGTAGTACCAATTAGTTATTTAGAAAGAGTAGTAGCTATTCTATATATGATGATATGTAGTATTTAATTGAGTTACAGTGTAAGTACTGTTGGAGCAATTATTGATACTATTTCTGCTTATGGATAAGAAAAGATGAGAAAAATGAGAAAAATAAATTCATATATGTAAAATAGAAAAATTGAATATTAATTGCAATATTAGATTAGAGAATATTTAAATTATTATTGGGAATCATAAAATTAGGTTGAAAATGATGAACTTAATGAAATTATTAATTAATTATCAGAGAATCTTAAAGAAAAATTAATGAATTAATCAAATTCTTTAATTTTAAATGAATGTCCATTATTTTAACATAATTTTAGTGATGCTTTAAAATCAAAATTAGTTAATAAAATAAAATAAGCTGTAATATAACCTGAAAATATTATAAACTTTGATTCAATATTTCCTCAATTACCACCAGGTTAATTATTTGTTTGTTTTGTTGAATTTGGAGAAATTCAAATATTTATTCAAAATGATTCAGTTGATTAAGTAATTGAAAATCCATAAATTGCTGAGGTTTTTAAGGTTGGTAAAGGTTCTAGTTTAGGTATTATTAGTTTTATAAGTGGTAAATAATCTTAAGAGAGATTTAGAAGTGTTGGTTTTTCTAAATTATTAATGCTTTCAAGAGATGACTTTTTAAAAGTAATATAAGATTTTCCAGAAGATTATGAAAGATTTAGAAATCTTTATGATAGTCTATAATTTGAAGATTTAAGTGTTTTACAAATGAAATGTTTTAGTTGTAATTCAAAATATCATAGAGTATTATAATGTCCTTTATTACATTATATTCCTGATAAAGAATTGATTATAAAAAGATTTTGTTATAGTCAATTTTAAAATAGAAATTCAAAATATGAGAGAAATCCATTTAGATAAAGAGGATACTTTGCAGCACGTTTTGATTAAGAAGTAATAGAATAAGAAGCAAATTCATTTAATAATAATAATTGGAAATGGGCAGAATTTTATGAAGAACCAGAAGATGATTCATTAAAAAAAAGTGATGTTCATTAATAATAATAAATTGGACCAATTTTAGAATTAAGTAATCATAATCTATAATTATAATAATAATAACAAAATATTATAAATACTATTTAACCTATTTCTGATTAATCTACTAAGATTAATTTAGAACCTCCATAAATTAAAAAAAAAGCTACATTATTTAAATAGAGAACAAAGACAATAGAATTATTAGATATTGATGATAAATAATTGAAAGCATCTCTTATGAGTAAAGCAAGAAACTAGAATATTTTTAATAATAATCTTATGATTATAAAAGAAGAAGATAATTAAGATAATTCTCCTAAAGATAAAATAATATAGGGTAGTTAAAGTAGAGCATCTTTTAGTTTAGATTATTATAGAAAAAGACCAAAAGAAAGCTTTCAAAAAATGAAGAAAGTTGTTTAAATGATAACAAATATGAATAGAATGAAAAAAAAATAAAAATTAAAAAAAGAAACAAAATCAATTATTAATCAATTCTTAGAAGTAATTCAATCTTAACAATTACTTAAAGGATTATTATCAAAAGTTCGAATTAGAATAAAATAAATATAGGATGGAAAAAAACAAATTCTATAAGAGAAAGACATCTAAGATACTATGTTGTTAGAGATTAAATTATAAATGCAAATTGAATAATTAAATGAATTTTAAAAGAAAGATCAAATTTAAGTTATGGAATCTTATAAGAAATATAAATACTATTAAGTTTAGAATAACTTAGATTCAATATTAGAAAAGATGTACTTTTATAAACAACAGAATACATTAGATAATCAATTAAAAAATTACTAATCTATATTATTAAAGTATATGATTTATCCAGAAATATTTTTTGAAAAATATAGGTATTAATAGGTAATAATTCCAAAATTTGAATTAGAAGAATCAAGAAGAGGTTCAGAATAAGATTCTGAACGTACTTTAAAGAGAAGTCGCATGATTAAAAAGAGTTTTAGAAATCTAAAACTATCTCAAATCAGACCAATGTCAGATGGGACTGGAAAGTATTAGATGTGATTCATGATAAATAGAAATTCATTTACATCTATAAATATATATGAAAATGATATCGTTTATTTATAAAGTTACTATTGAAAGCTAAATAATTATTTTATGAATAATTAATAGAGTAGGAACTTTGTTGGAAAGAAGATTGATGATTATATCCTTGTAGATGTATTAGGCACAGGAGCTTTTGGATAAGTAATACTTTTATTATAATTAATTTAGGTTTTTTCTGCTTAGAATATAATTACTAAAGAATCAGTTGCCATAAAGTCTGTACCAAAATCAAAATTGTAATCTATTTGATTTGATTATATTTAGGAGAGAACATAATGGATTGGTAGGATAATTATTAAAGACAGAAGTTTAAGTATTAGCTTAATGCAGTAATATTAATGTTGTTAAGATGAATAAGTATCTGGAGAGCGAAAATAATTGCTATTTAGTGATGGAATATTGTAATTGTAAATGAAATTTATTAAACTATTTTAGAAGGAGATCTTGAATAATTGTGGAAGAAAAAGAATAGAATAATCTCTGAAGTAGAGGCTATTTAATATATAAAATAGATATTAAATGGTATGAGAGGGTAAATGTATAAAAAAATTATAGATTGCATGAAATGAATGTTATTCATCGAGATTTAAAATTACCTAATATACTAATCTCTAATAATGTTCTAAAAATAGGAGATTTAGGTTTTGCTAAAAGAATGGAAAGCTTAGATGGAGTAGTCAAAGAAGCATTAGGTACTTTAGGAACTATGGCACCTGAAATCATTGAATTTAAACCATATGGAATTCTAGCTGATATGTTTTCAATTGGTGCCATTTACTATTAGATGCTTTTTGGTGTACTCCCATTCAGTATTAAAAGTTATAATGATTTCTTAAAAGATGTTAAATCAAGTAAAACTCTATAGTATTATTAATAAAGATTAGCCTAATTTTACAAGGAATAATATTAAAATATCTAAAGAATCATAAGAATTATTAATTAGAATGCTTAATCCAGATCCAAAATAAAGATTATAATGGAATTAGTTGTATGAATCACCTTTATTTTCAAATTAAGTTGTAAATCCAGGTATTCATTTATTAATTTATTAACTATAGCCTTATGTTAATTAACAGTGGAATAGGTTGTAGCCAAATAGGTAGATTTAAAAATGAATAAATAAGTCTATTAGTAAAACTAATAAAAATTTGATAATATCAATAATTAAGATATGATAAAGAAATTATAATCTGATGTACCAAAAATAGAACAAAAATAAGTTATGGATAATTCAAATGATGAAAAATTATTATAGGAAGCTCTTTAATAAAAATATCTTTAGTAATAGAAGACTAATGATTTAAATAATGTGTTTGAGAAATATCTTAATGAAAGAAATACAATTGTATTTTTAGGTACTGTCTTAAATGAAATTCATTAAAGAAAACACACTCAAAATACCAATGTAATAAATATTTAATTTTTATTTTAGGTATTTCTTCCTGCTTTCATTATATCAAAGAAATTAATTATTGAAATGGATCGTTTCTTAGAAATTTTAAAAACACAAAGAAATATTTATTAATGTGCATATTTCTTTGAACTTTATACATTCCCATAATTTACAGCCTTTGTTAAATTATGTGAAGAAGATTTCTAAATATAGATGACTCATTTTTAAGTAATTTAATAATAATTACAGTATTTTATAATATTATATTTAGAACTATTTTGTTTCAAATGTAGAATTAAGCTAATGAAAAATATATATCAGAATTGTTGCCTGCACCATCAGCTTAATTTGAAGAGAACTATCGTGATATTTTGATCAATTATTATATGTAATTATAGGATGAAAAGGGAGAAAGTGAAGATTAAGACAATGCTATAAATAATTTGTCTATTTATGTTTTAGATACCATTTTGTTTGATAGAGTTGTTAAGAAATAAGTATTAAATTTTTATTATATTTTATAGCTATTAACCTAGAAAGTTGATGATTATTTGGAGAAGTTCAATTTCTTGACTAGTAAAGAAAAAGAAGAGATGATTGCTTAAAAATTTTAGCAAATATATTCATTTTGAAAATCATATAAATTTAATTTCAATTAATATTCCAAAATATCATGGATCAATATAATATTTAGAATCTCTAAATAATCTAAATATCTTCCATCAATATATAAATTATGATCTTTAATAAATTTCAACAAATATAAGAACTTTTCTTGATTTATTTAAATTTTATTTTTAATATTGATTAATATTCCATAATTTTTAGATTTTATTCTTTTTAGTAAATTGGTTTTGTTTATTAGTTATCATAATATTATATTCTAAATATCTAAGTAGGAATTTTATAAATAATCTAAATTTTAAATTTATTTATGCTTAAATTAAGTATAAGAATGCATTTTTAAATAAAAATAATGACAAATTCTATCATCATAATAAATTCAATTATGTTTGAATTATTAAGTATAAATAAGAAAAATACCCTATTAATAATTATAACTATTAAGATAATCAAGGTGTAATAAAAATAATAATTTAATAGAGTAAAATTATTGATATGTTAACAATTTCATTATTTAATTATTACATTTGGGTTTAATATTCTTTATTTTTTTGATAATACTATAATATTTGATAATTCCATGAAATGAACTTAGAATAATCAATCAATTTTTCATTGCATTATTAATTCTACGTTCTATAAAATTTTCTTTTTTCTTCTCCACTTTTTATGCCAATTTTTTTCTAAATATTTTCTGAAATTGTTTTGCTGGACAATAATCATCTTATTATTGAGTAAAATCTTTCATTCCTGTAGATGTGAATTATCCATCAAAAGATGGAGTAGTTTCATATTTCTAAAGATATTATTAGATATTATAAAACTACATGATGTGTTGGTTTTTGAGGACTTCTTGTTACTTTAAATGGTTAAAAATTTTATTAACTTGTTGTCATTCCTACAAAGGGACCTGTAGGCATTGGAGAACTTTGATAATTAATATATATAATTTACAGTTCACTTTTAAAGTAAGTTTAGTTTTCAACTTTCCAACTAGTAGGTGGAACAAATGAATCTTAATATTATGTTTTACCAATAAATTTAATGTCTGTACTTGTACTTATATGAGGATATCGACTAAATCTCTAATAATTATTACCCCAATTATTATAATTAGACTTAATATATTATTAGAAAATACCCTATAATTAGTTAGATTGGACATCGATCCCAATTATGGTCTATAAGGAGGTTTAAAACTTTCAGTTGATTATATTGGCATTTCTTTATAGTCTTATTGATGAGATGTAGTAAAATCGATTGTCTTTTAATCGAGAAACTTTGTAGCATATGTCTTAGAATTTAAGGGTGTTAGATTATTATAACTTGATTTATGAGGAATAAAATCCTTATCATAAACAGTTAAAAAAGATCCATTAATCTTTAATTTAACTTAATTCGAGACATCACATCTGCATCTACCACATTTACATCGATAGCATGCACAAAATCCAAGATGATGATAAAAATAATCTGGATTATCTTCCAATAATTTCTCTAAAGTTTATTCATCTAATGACATATTGTCTGGTAAAATCTATCTCCAAATTGGATCTTCTGGACTAATCTAATCTAAAATAAATGGATCGAATTCATAACAAAGATCATAACTTGTCTTTGATGGTGCAACACTTGATAATTATTCAATTTTTTTTCCATTTCTACCAATATGAACTATTCGTTTTCCACCATTGCTTCCAATTTAAGATTATTAAGAAGGAGGGCGTTATTATTATTGTGATATTATATTTTTGTTACTACGATTTGATTATATACTTTTTGGACGATAGGATCCTACAGATTCACTTGATTTAATTAAATTTGATTATTTTGGTCTTAGTAATTCTGCCACAGGATCAGTGTACATAAAATAAATTTTATAATGAATGTATTTGTTATGTCGATTTATAAGTCGTAATAAAATTTATATAATTAAATTTTACTTAATTACTTTACCTTGTTAAATGGATTAAAGAAAAGTTCAAGAATAGCTCATTTTCATTCTTTATAGTATATCTTTCTTTATCTTTAATTTAATCTAATATTAATTATTGTTATAACTAAAAAAGATCATTTATATTTTGATATAAATATTAAAATCATTTCTCAATTAATTATTAAACATTAATAATATTCTTTGTAGTTAAGATGTCTGGTATCACTTTTATATAACATTTACTAAATCTCACAACCTTTTATTGTGTTATCTTGCTTCTTATCTTCCCTAAAATTATTTTACCATCTTTTAACCGCTTTCTTTTCAAAATGCTTTTAGGAATTTAGTCATTCTTATCTTGATATTTGTAATTATTTAAAAATAGATTTCGTCTTATATTAAGACATATAGATGTCTGAGAAAATGTATTTGAAAATGAATTTTCATTATGATCATATAATTATTTTTCATTCTTCTTAAGAATTCTTATATTTGTATTTATTAAGTCTTCCTCCAATTTAAGACATTCTTAAAAAACATTCTCTAAATCATCATCTTCATCACATCTTTAAAGTGATTTACAATTAGAGGTTGATTCGATTGTTTTAGGTTAGTATAAGTTTTTTATAGGACTATCTAATAATAAAATTTAATCATGTTTGAGTTAAATAGATTAATCTTAATCTTGTTAAAGAGAATATCCAGCTGCGCATCCCATTATATTTTAATTGTTTAAAATAGATTATTATGATTTTAATGAAGATATATGGGCAAATGAATTTTTATATAATACAATTAGAAAAATAAATATTAAATAATATATTTCGTACTAACTTTTTTTTAATTATGAATCGTAAGTAAATTTTGATATTATCTATTTAGGCTAATCTTAATAAGTATCAATATTTATTATATTTTTTAATTTCTTAATATAATCAAAGATTCTATAATTTTGTTATTTGTTATATAAATATAAAAATCTTAATAAAATAAATAAAATCAAGAATTATTGGTAGAAGTTATGGCTATTCCTTTTTCCATTCTGTAAAAGAATTATTTGAGTCCAACCAAATAATTGTAATTACCTTATTCTACAATCATACCATTGTCAAACACATAAATTATATCAGAATCCTAATTATATTATATAATATTTTTACTTTGATTGTTGATATTCTATGAGCTATTGATAAAGTAGTATTTTCTTTCATTATGTTATTAAGACTTTCTTATACAATCTCTTCAGATTTTGCATCTAATGCACTTGTTGCTTCATCTAATAAAAGTATATTAGCATTCCTAAGTACTGCTCTAGCTATAGCTATTCTTTATTTTTATCCTCCTGATATTTATGATCCTTTTGGTCCTACTCTTTTATGAAATCCTTTTCCAAAATCTTATTATTTTTCATCAGAAGCATTTTCGAATTAATCATTAACAATAAAGTCATAAGCATTAGCCTTTTTTGCAGCTTATTCTATTTATTCCATACTAATATCTTTCAAATTATATTATATATTTTCTTTAATAGTTCCATTAAATAAAACTGGTTCTTATGATACAATAGCTAATTATTTTCTTAAATGTCTTATGTCATAATCTCTAATATCCAATCCATCAACCAATATTTCTCCTTAATCTGGATCATAGAATCTCATAAGCATTTACATAATAGTTGATTTACCACAACCACTTGATCCAACAAAAGCAACTTTTTACCCAGAAGGAATTGTTAAACTTAAATTAGAAAATACATTTTTTTCTCTTGTTGGATATTTGAATGTCAAATTTTTACATTCAATATGTCCTTTAATTTAGGTTTTTAATCTCTTAAATTATTTTTCTAATTAAATAATATATTATAATTACATTCTTCTATTTAAAATTCATCAACAGAATCTAAAATTTCAAAAATATTTTTAGCTGCAGTTCTTCCTTTATCTACATCTCCTACAAAATGTGAGTCTCTAGCACCACCCATTGTAGCAAATGTAATTCCAAAAATTGCTCTAAACATATCATTTACATCCAAGCCTTAATATTTTACTAATAAAGCTCCACAATAAAAAACAAGTGCATTGATGAGCATTGGTTGCATTTATGAAAATCCAAATGCACTACCTGCTTAAAGACCCTTTGATGTACAATGTTCTAAAGGTTCTTAAATTCTCTTTGTGTAATCCTATTTTATAATATTTTATAAATACATCTAAAATTATATTTTCATTTCCAAAAGAATATACTGTTCTAATATTTGTTACTGCCTCCATAATTAAATTTCCAGCATCTTTAAATCCATCTCCTTTATGAGAACCACTTAAAGTTCCCATATACTTAGTTCTTAATTTCATACCAATAAATCTAAATGGTGCAGTAGCTAAAACTATCAAAGTTAAAGCCCAACTTGAAGAAAATGCTATTGCCATACCACAAATAAGTGCAGAAGCATTTTAAATTTTAAATCCAATAATAGTAGAAGTCAAACTCTAAACTGTTTTACAATCTACACTTAATCTAGCAGTTAATGTTCCAGCATTATTTTCAGGTTTATCAAAGAAAGCTATAGGCATTCTAAGTAATTTCCTAAAAGTGAAATTTCTTAATTTCATGGTTAAGTTTTCTGCAACAATAGATAAAAAGAAATTCTCTAAAGATTAAAATACTAAAAATCCTAAACCAAATAAGAAAAACCATAATGCTATATCTGCTGATTCATCCTTTACTTTTTCCATCTGTGTATCTCTAATTTAACTATTAGGGTATAGATTAGGATCACTTTCTGCAAGTAATGTAATCATATCAGAGAAAAATAAAGAAAAACATGGGAATATACAACCATTAATAAGAGCTGATAATAATCCTAATATCAAAATGCATCTTTCTTCTTTTCCATAACTAAACAATCTTGTCATAATTTAAGCATCATTAGAATCATTCTAAGTAGTTTAAGTTTTCATTTCCTAAAAGTTATTTTAATCTTTGTTTTTAAATTATATGTTCAAATGTTTAATATCTTATATTTCCTTTATTGCTTTTTCAACAACATTTGGTTATTCTTTATCAAATTAATTA